TTTTTTTTTTTTTTTTTTTTTTTTTTTTTTTTTTTGAGTTATAAGGAGAGGTGCTCAGCTATCACTCAAATGGGTGATCAGCAGTCCTTGGCTTGGCCTTAACCCTAGACACTCTCATTCTGGGGGATCAGTTAGTTACTAGTAAATGGACCTGATTTGCATGATTCTTAAGGTCACACTCACTATACTTCTTCAATGTTATGAAATCCTCCTTCATTAGAAAAATAAACACAAGCTGGGAAACAGCTCAATCAGGAAAGAGCTTGCTGTGTAAGCACATAAACCAGAGTTCCATCTCCCACACCCACACTCAAGCCTGAATATGGTAATGTGCTTGTCACCCTAGTACTGGGGAGGGAGAGACAGGTGATCCCTAGAGCTTGCTGGTCAACCAGCACACTCAGCCTCATATCCTAGTGAGAGACAGGTGGGCAGCTCCTAAGGGACAACACATCTGAACACACACATACTTGCACAAGCACTCACACATGAACATGCAAACACATGCACACACATACACAAGTTGAACACAAAGCTTGTAACACAACATTTCAACTAAAAACAACAGAAATGTATAAGCATGTCTTATGCTTAGCAAGTTTTCCTTTTGTTTTGGCTCTTGTTTGTTATCCCATTTGGGAATACGAGTCCTGGACATTTCTTCCCATTGTGGTTGGATCTAATACTTGGAAATCATTATTTAGAAGCGTAGTTTGGAGAGCCCCATCACAGATGACTGGGTAAATGAGCAGTGACTGATTCAATTAACTGATAAAAATTGAATAGCACAGGTCCAAACCATCTTGTCTGAACACAGAGCCTCATGTTCAAGTAAGCAACCATCAGGGTGGTAGTTCTTTCTTAACACAAAAGATGAGGAGTCAGTGCCTACCACAGTCCAGAAGGTGGCGACATAGACATTTAAGGGACAGTTAATGGGCAGGTAGTCATTTGTGAGAAAAATCCTTAATTGAATGGTCTTGCAGCAGAAGTCACCCTTTTTTTGACCCATAGGTTGTCCCCTCTTGAAGGTCAGGTCATTCACAGTATGCCCATTTCTTTTTACCATCCAGTACAGTAGGGAGAAAACGGTATGGAAGTTTGAAATCCCGCACATGCCATTTGTAAGCTCTGTGGCCCTGAGAATGGCACTTAACCTTGGTTTTGTTCAATGTAACTTAGGATGAATAAGAACTCTGTCATTGGGATCTGAGGCATCAATGAAATAATGAAGCTTAAGTATTTTAAGTATTGTTGCATTGACATCCTCTCTGCCTTAGAAAAGGACACTGTAGAGGGTGAGACAGCCCCTCAGACAGACATGGTGAGTTCAGAGTGGGCTAGGACTCTGCTTCCAATAGCTCAGAACCAACTGCTTATGTAGCTGCCTTTCTTCTCCCTTACCCTGGGATCCTGTGAGCCTGGAGTTTGCTGATTACTCCAATGTGGAAGCATGGCTGTTATCTTTTCAAAGGAGGGAACAGGTTTGGGTGACATGTCACTCTTCTGGAAGGAATTGAAAGAAAGGTGATTATAAGAATTTAAGCCTTACCAAAAAAGCATAAATTGAAAAAAAAATTCTTGAATATCTGAAGTAGAAGCTTACCTGCTTGGAAAATTGGATTTCTTACCCTCTAGGTTGGCGAAATTCCTGGATAACTTAGGGTGTCTAAACTGTGGGTTCCCATGAATGATGGCTATGAACAGCACAGCTCCAGCAGCGGGGACATGTTGCTATGGCAACCCGAAGCTAGAAGTTCCTCCAAGCCTTAGAAAGGCTGTCAATTAGATCCATGCACTTGGGGAGTTTAATGAAAACAGACACTTGTCATTTTTCTAACAGCCTTCCAACATTCTATATGTTTAAAATATATCCATGGAAGGAAAAGCCCGCGGTTAAGTTTAGCTGTTTATTTTAAGAGAATTCCCCTGTGTGGCTTTGACAGGGCAGATATTTTTCCCCTCTCCACACTAAAAGAGAAAAGCAAGGCCTTCCACTGTTGAGCAGAAATGCGATTAGGAGAGTCACTTATGTGGTTCAGGTGAAGTGATGTGAGGCAAGAGAGCCTCGGCCCTACATCCTTGCTTTCTTTGGGGTGGAGAGGCAATCTCCCTTCATATTCACACCCCTCAAGCTGATCTCCTACAGCTCTTTGAAATGGTACGCCCACACTGACTGATGGGTAGGTTCCATTAATGGGGCAGCTCAGAAAAGAAAACTTTATTAGACATCAATCTTTCCAAATGTCAGACACTAAAGAGAAAGGAATCATAATCTTTTGCTTAGACTGACTTGCTGTCTGAGGCTGGCTGCTGAGATCTGACTCTCACTGAGAACACAAATCAATAGTCAGTGTCGAAACCACAGTTGGAAGCAGGAGCTTATTCCAAGATTGGCTCGGACTATTTGCTTCCAGTGGGATAAGTGTGTGCGTGTGCGCGTGCATGCGTGTGTGTATGTGTGTGTGTGTGTGTGTGTGTGTGTGTGTGTGTGTGTGTATTTGTTTATGTTCACCCAAATCTGCCACTTTTGTATTGCAATTTGCAGAAGAAACATACCTCTTATCTTGGATGTGACAGTCCGCAAGACGGGAACAGTTTTCAAAGGGGGCTGAAAACTGATAATGTCAGGTACAGTCAAACAGCTGAAGGCACATATTTAATCGAATCCTTCTTTGCCTCACACATTACTCAGTCAAATGACAATTGAAAATTCAGTCCCCTGCAATGAGAACCCATGACTGGCGCCTCCTTGACGTCTGGGTACAGGACATCCTGCTCTCTTTAGTTTCCTTTTAAATGTCAGTTCGTAAGTAGGTCAACAGAAAGTTGAGTGTTGTTAGTTCTCCCTGTTAAGTTTAGTTCATACAAATGTAGCAAACTTAGCTCCATTTGGTTCTCAGCAATATTTGAAAATTGCATTTTATAGTTGGGTCTGATTGCGTCTGCTAATTATCACATCTCTGCTTGTGGCAGAGAAGCTAACAATATTGGTAGGCAAAGGCACAGATACTGCCTGCCCTCACTGATTGAATGGAGTAGGGTGGCAAGAATCAAACAGTCCCCTGAAGTATGTATATGATGTGGCCCCAGATGAAGATTATTCTGAGAAATCCCTTCTTTGTCTCTCTTATATTAATTGTGGTAATTAGCATACTGAAAACAGGAAGTCCAAAGCTGGAGTCAGAGCTTGTCCTTTTCTGCTCTTTCCTCTGATTCTGAACACTGCAAACAAGTGGTTGCTGGAGTGATTTTCAATCGATTGCATTAAGATAGGCAGTGTGGCACTAGGCATGATCAGAACATAGGCCATGGGTCAATGCTTTGCCACTAACTGATCGCTTAATCTTGGGAAAGTCACTCATGCAGTTTGGCTTTTGACTTCATTATCTGTATTATAAGAGAGTTGAACTAATTGAGTATGAGGTTTCCTTTTGATTCTCCAAGTTTGAAACCTGACATGTGGCCTGGAAAGAGTGCCTTCTTTCCAGGAAGAACTCTCCTTGCTGTTTAGGCAACATCTGTGCACAGCTTCCCAGCCTAGCCATGAATATTTTGAGGACTAGAATTCATGTTCTGCTGCCCCAGCATTGCTGTGGGATGTTCTGTATGTCCTGTGGGAGCCTGTTCTTGGGTTCCTTGTGGTTTTACCCAGCAGGTCCGCATAGAGGATGATTAGGACCACAAGCCTGAGTACAGGTGTCTGAGATGGTCTGCACTTGGCTGTGCTGGGGAATGGTCTGTATGTCAAATTGCTTTGATTGGTCAATAAATAAAAACCGATTGGCCATGGCTAGGCAGGAAGTATAGGCAGGACTAACAGAGGGGAGAAATAAAAGAACAGGAAGACAGAAGGACTCACTGCCTGCCAGCTGCCCCCAAGGACAAGCAGCATGTGAAAATGCTGGTAAGCCACGAGCCACGTGGCAAGGTATAGATTTGTGGAAATGGATTAATTTAAGCTATAAGAACAATTAGTAAGAAGCCTACCACAGCCATACAGTTTGTAAGCAACATATAAGTCTCTGTGTTTACTTGGTTGGGTCTGAGTGGCTATGGAACTGGCGGGTGACAAAGATTTATCCTGACTGTGGGCAAGGCAGGAAAACTCTAGCTACACAGCATGCTCATGCCCCTCTCTCAAGCCAACAGCAAGTAATGCACAGCTTATAACCTAACATATTCCATTAAATGTTCTTGCATAAAAAAGGAAATACATTTCCCTGAATGGGTCTTCTGGTTGTTATGTAAAGGACCTTAGCACTGTAAAGCTGGCAAGTGGTAGGAGTTTAGATTCTCTTCAGTTTTGTGCTTTAAGGCTTGATATGTATGTAGCTTAAAATCAGAACTTCGAACAGAACAAAGACTTGGTCACCTTTCCTAAAAGCTTTATTAATGACAATAATTTTACAGAGAAAATTATTCCTCTCTGGCAATGCCTCTTCTGATGTAATGCTCTCTGCTGAAGACAAAATTGCAACAATTATGATCTTGATCTTGCCTGTGACCCTAGAATTGACCTTTTGAAGGAACCTGGGTTATGCCTGTTATCTTTACAAGGAGAATGGCTGCTTCCAGAATTGCTTTGGGACCCTATCCTGTCAACATGAAATTGCAGTTAGTAATCTTGCCACGTTTGCCAGATTGGGTGCACATAAACTTGAGCACACCCGACTCCCGGGTTTCCAGTGTTATTTAAAGAACTGGATACTCCCAAGCACTTATTTTCTTCAACTCAATTCGCATCATAATCCATCAACATCACAGTGTTTTTATTCTCCACTTCTTTTTATATGATCCTATTAGTTGGGAGAAACCCAAGTGATATTTTTCTTTCCTCTGGCTTTGTCTCATCATTGCTTTTGCTCAAAACCAAGGATTATATACCTTTTGCTTGATAAGAATTCATCCATCGTGTAGCCAACAGTTTCCATACCCTGGTTTTCTTCACTGAGTTTTTTTTTAGGGATGAAACAAAGGCAACTCTTACTGCTCTATGCAAAAGACATTTATAATCTGTTCCTAAATCAGAAGCCAGAATGCTGTTCTTAAATCATAGAGGATACCTTTGAAGTTAACTGCTGTTCACTCAGTGCTCCTGGTGTCTCTGTGTACTCTCCTTGAAAATGCATGTGATACCTTTGAACTGAGAGTGAATGATGCTTCCAAGCCCTAAGGATATGGCCCTGTCATGGCTCATATGTGGTGAATCAGCTGAACTGTACTTTTGAGTGTGTAAGGGCATCAAACCTTGGATGGTTGTTCTACATCTGCAAGTGAAGCTAACACTCCCTACTGTAAAGGAGCCCGTGGAGCAGAGTGAGCTCCTGAACAGGTGGGATGCTTGCCTGCTTGAGGTACATTTGTGCTTCTTCAGTTTGATTTCCCTCTGTTTTGGGGAGTCTCACCCACTGATCATAGGCCAGGATGACAGTGCATCTATGTTGTCTATTTAGGTCATAGAAGGAATGGAGGAATGGTCATTTCTCCTTTACAACCTTTCCCTCTACCACAGCAGCAGAGATGAATGTGATAAAGTACCAGACTTTCAGTTTAATTTGACAAAACCATCTTTGAGAGGCTGTTGCACTGGGACTAGTAAGCTGAATAAGAGATGTGATGGTGCCTGTGCAACTCTATAAAGCACATGCCACTTTTATTTTTTTTTTCTGGGACATGTTGGGGCTTGGAGACCTGGCAAGTAA